AAATCGAATGAGTGGCATCAAAAAGAATCCCAACATTAAGATACTAAATTTACAATCCTCTCTAGCTAAATTTAGTACTTTGATTTTCTTATTTGGCTAGGTGCATCACAAGATGGTATAGTTAGAATGACACAAGGCATTAACATCTTTGCTATTTTGACAAAACGTATGCCAAAACACGCAACCGGTCTTATATACATTCAGAAATTTCAAAAGGCTTTGCTGCAGTATGGATAGGGCATTTATAATAAATTACTTTGCAAGTTGTAAATTACAACAAATATTATTTTCTAATAAATTGACACAAATAAATAATCTACACAAGTTTACTGATTCAGTTACTACACCATACTGTTTTAGCATATTTCCCTAAAGAACATGGAAACTCCCAAATTTAAATACATATAATTCTATATTAGATATACATATGTTTTTCAACTGTGAATGTTAAAAAAATATAAAATGCCTCTGTGGTGCTCAAAACATTTGCTCCATTTATTCCTCTTTTACCCATGTTGGGCAAAAAAAGAAAAAAGAAAAAAAAATTTGTTCCATTTACATACTTTATACACTTCACTTTAACAACTACAGTAATTAGCATCATTTCCATTTCATTTGACCACTGATTATACAACTGAGTGCTGAGGCAAAATTGTATATGTACATATAATATACAAATTTCTAAATCATTTTCGCTTTTGAATATATTTTACTTTCAAAAGTAAAACTCCATTAACATGTATTACATTTATCAGGTAAAACGAAGTTCTGCATATATGTAACACATATATTTACTTACAAGAAGTTTACTGTCAAGTTAAACTGTAATATGCCTGAGAAAACATGACAAAATAAAATAAAACAAATTATTCATTGATTTTGTCCATGATTTCAGCATAATCTTTTATCTCATACTAAACAAAAGCAAAAACCTGAGGGCTAACTATATGATGAAAGAAGACATACATTTTTTATCATACTGCAATTTCCCTGTTTTTAATTTCCCTTCTATTATTAGGTTGGTACACAAGTAATTGTGATTTTTGCCATTGAAAGTAATAGCAAAAGCTGCAATTATCTTTGCACCAACCTAATAAATTTCACATAATGATGCCTTCAAATCTGTAAACACTTCCTGTATTCTGAAAGAAAACCCTTCTGAGTACCATTCCAATAATCTAACTTTTATAAACAAAATAAATGGTTTCTATATATTTGCTAATTCAAACTATTCTTGTGCTTTTTCACCTACTGGAAAAAACTAATTATGAAAATTATCTCCTCTTTCTCTAATACCTAATTATATACTCTAGAAACTCTTCCATTCCTCAATCTGCCTTAGATTCTCGGTTATACTTGACAATGATAACTAACTTATTTGTTTCCCCAGTAACCTTTTTATTTTTGAAAAATTTTAGATTTACAGAAAAGTTCCAAGGGTACTACAGACAGTTTCCATATACCTGACACCTGGTTTACCTCATTGTTAACGTATTATCATGGTATATTTGTCAAAACAAAGAAACTGACACTGGAAGATTACTATTAACTAAACAAAACATTTTATTTGAATTTCGCCAATTTTTCCACTAATGTCCTCTTTCTGTTCCAGGATCCAATCTAGGACACCACACTGCATTCATTTGCCATGTCTTCCCAGGCTCCTCTGGTCTATTTATCTGTCTTTCCTTGCTTTTCATGACCTTCGCAGTCATGAGTACTGATGAGATAACCTGTAGGGCAACTCCCAATTTGGTTATGTCTGATGTTTTTCTCATGAGTAGACTAGGGTTATGAGTTTTTGGCAAGAATATCACAGAGGTGAAGTACTTTTGTTATCACATCAAATGAGGGGGCACATGACACCCACATGACATAATAACTGGTGACATTACACTTCATCACTTGGTTAAGGTATATCACTTGGTTACAGAGTTTGAAGAATGAATAGTCATGTATCCACCAACCCAGAACTGTACAGAGTAATTCCTTCACTTTTAAAACGTTCCCCTGTACATCCCCTTTGCAGTCAATACTTCCCTCTCTCCTAAACCCTAACAACCAACAGTCCATTTTCTACTTCTATAGTTTTGTCTTTTCCAGAATGTCATGTGAATGAAGTCACACAGTTTGGATCCTTTTTGGTCTGGCTTCTTTCACTTAGTAAAATGCTTTAAAGATTCATCCATGTTATGTGAATCAATTGTTTGTTCCTTTTTATCACTAAATGTTATCAAAGTTTATCCATTTCCCTGATGAGTGGACATCTCGGTTGCTTTATATTTTTGGCAATTATGAATAAAGTTGCTATAAACATTTGCATACAGGTTTGGGTGGACCTAAATCACTTAGGTAAACATACCTAGGAGTGCCATCACTGGGTCGTACTCTAAGTCTATGTTTAGTGTTCTGAGAAACTATCTGTCTTCCAAAGCGACTGTACTATTTTGCATTCCCACCAGCAAAGAATGTCAGTGCTGCTGTTTCACCTCTTGGTCAACATTTGTTATTGTTAGTTTTGTGAATTGTAGTCATTCTAATAGGTATATAGTGGTAGTTCTTTGTAGTTTTAATCTCCGTTTCCCTAACGACATATAATGGTGAATATCATCTTTTCACGTGTTTGCCATCCTTATATCTTCTTTGGTGAAGTGTCTGTTTAGGTCTTTTCACCATTTTTAATTGGACTGTTTGCTTTCTTATTGTTGATTTTTAATAATTCTTATATATTTTATACACAAGTCCTCTATCAGATATGTAATTTGCAAACATTTTCTCCCAGTCCATGACTTGTCTTTTCATTTTTTTAACACTGTTTTTCACAAAGTAAAAGTTTTTAATTTTGACAAAAAATTACAGTAATTTATCTTTTCATGGATCATGCTTTTGGTGTTATATCTGAAACTTCATTGCCAAACTCAAGACTGGACACATTTTCCCTTTATTTTCTCCTAGAAGTCTGATAGGTCCATAATTTACATTTAAGTTTCTGAAGCATTTTAATTATTATTTAAGGTGTGAAGTATATGTGATATATAAGGTGTGAAGACCATATAAAAATATGTTTTTATTTTTATTTTCTGGCATATGGACATCCAATTATACCAGCACTATTTGTTGAAAAGGCTATGTTTTCTCCATTGAATTACCATTATGTCTTTGTCAAAGTTAAGACGACTATATGGGTCAATTATGGATTTCAAATATAAAATCAGTAACCAGTTAGTAACCCTACGATGGCCTCTAAACGTTCAAATGAAAGGAAGAGTCACATGTCTCTCACTTTAAATAAAAAACTAGAAATGATTAAGCTTACCAAGGAAGGTATGTCAGAAGCCAAAATAAGCCAAAAGCTAGGTCTCTTGTGCCAGTTAGCCAAGTAGTGAATGCAAAGGAAAAGTTCTTAAAGGAAATGAATAGTGCTACTCCAATGGAACACACAAACGTATGAAACAGCCTTACTGTAGATAGGTGAAACAGCAAGGGCTAATGCAGAAGCTGCAGCAAGTTCTCCGGAATACCTAGCTAAGATAACTGATGAAGGTGGATACACTAAATAACAGATTTTCAATGTAGATGAAAACAACCTTATCTGTGAAGAAGATGCTGTTTAGAACTTTCATTGCTAGAGAGCTGTCAATGCCTGATTTCAAAGCTTCAAAAGACTCTCTTGGCAGGGTTAGTTAATGCTGCTGGTAACTTGAAGTTGAAGCCAATGCTCATTTGCCATTCTGAAAATCCTAGGGCCCTTAAAAATTATGCTAAATCTACTCTGCCTGTGTTCTATAAGTGGATCAAAAAAGCATGGATGACAGTATACCAATTGTAGCATGGTTTACTGAATATTTTAAGCCCATTGTTGAGACCTACTGTTCAAAAAAAAAAGATTCTTTTCGAACTATTTCTGCTCACTGACAATGTACCTGGTCACCCAATAGGTCTGATGGAGATGTACAAGAAGACTAATGTTGGTTCCGTGCCTGCTAACACAACATCCATTCTGCATCCCACGGGTCAAAGAGTAATTTTGACTTTCAAGTCTTATGATTTAAGAAGTGCATTTCATAACGCTATAGCTGTCACTGAAAGTGATTCCACTGATGGATCTGGGCAAAATATATTGAAAACTTTCCAGAAAGGATTCACCATTCAAGATGCTCTAGCCTTCTCTCGTCTGTAACTTTTCATTCCAACAGTAAAAAATCTGGGAATCTCCTAATTTTCACCTCAGAAAGTTACAAATGCAAAAGGAGAAATAAATTTGTTTTGAGAGGAAATCAACTTATTCAAATAACCATGTTATTCTGTTTTGTTCATAATATCAAAGGCTCTATAAATAAACAACTTTAAAGCAGTACCAAATTCACCCAGAGAAAGCTCTGCTTGCAGTATTTTTCAGGTCATGTCACACAAAGAAATACAATAACGCTTGCACGACCCACTGAGATAAAATGGACAAGGATGTTCATTGGTGGAGGTGATGGCTCAAGGGACTTAAGAATCCGTCTGGAATGCTGAGAGACCAACACCTCCACTAACTTACAGCTATTCACCTCATCAGGGAAGTGCTGGACTAAAGTAACAAGGCTCTAACAACTCCAGGGATTTCTAGAATTGTGTATCATACACTATTCCTAAAATATAAAAAGTAACATTAAGGTCTGAGGTTAAAAAAAAAAAAAGAATCACAATACATATCATTTGCTAAGCAACGTAAAGGGTTCACTTTTGCAGTGGTCTGGAACTAAACCCACAATACCTTTTAGGTAGCCTGTATACTAAAAACCATCAAACCGTCCTCTTTAAATGGATATAAATTATAACTCAATAAAGTTGTTACTAAAAAAATGTTTTTCTGAGATACTTTTTCTGACAATCTCTAATTCCACTGTGCAAATATTTCTTTTCATTCTTTAGTCACTCAACATTTATTTTCTAAATTTTATAAATCACTGACTATACAACACTTGTTTCAAACTTTGATTGAAAATTAACCTTACTTTTCCTTCTTGCTTTTCGGAACTTGACAGCAGCCAGATTTATTAAATTCATGCCATAAAGATTGTAGTCAATGAAGAGCTGTAGGAGGTAGGGAATATGCGCTTCATGAGGCTGGTAAAATTTATTCATTATGGCTCCACTTTGCAAAAGTTCACATATCCTAAATTAGAAAAAAAAAGTTTTATCATAAAATTATGTTCCCTAAAATGTTAAATATAGAAATATAGAGAACAAAGTACTTATTAGCACACAAAATTTTCTTTTCAGTTTTACTGGAAATTTGTATTTTGTTAGAAATTAAAAGTTTCAATCAAGTTTTAAAGTAAGCAACATGTTCTGAATAACAAAAAACTGCATGGATGAAGAATATTTTGTCTTAAGCCAATTTGATACTATGTTTAAAAATTAAAATACCAAACGGTTTTTAAAATAACATTTTTCTTTTAAAAATAACAAATAATTTTGAAAAGATTAAATATTCAAAAAAGGGAAAGAAATCATTACTTATAATCCCACCACTCAGAGGTATTGCCATTTTGATATTTTTCTTTCCTGAGTTTTTTTTTCCTTCACGATGACGAATACAAACAACAGACAATTATACACAGCATAGTTAAGTACTATGTGGGGAAATATATTAAACATCTAGAAAAGATACTAATCAGATAGAGGTGCAGAGGATGTTTCTGCAAAACCTTAGAGAAAGTCTCTAAGCAAGAAACTAAAAAAGAGGCACTTTTTTCTCTGAAGAGAGGGAAGAGTATTCATGTAAATAAAACTGCACATGTAAAGGGTCACGAGAAAACATGGCTTATTCAGGAACTGAAACCACTGAGTAAGACTGTGACCTAGTGTCAGAGGCAGGGATAGAGAAGTAATGAGAAGAGTGAGCATGCAGAGCCTGTTAAGACATTTGAAGAGGCAGTGAAATTTGTCTGAGAGGTGAATAGCAGAAAAGTGACATCACCAGATGAGCTATAGAACACAGAAGACTACAGGTAAGGAGTAAACAGGCTGTTGTGGAAAAACTAAGGATGGTGGCTATAACAAGGATCATAGAAATGTATTGATTCAGGAAACATATAAGGGGTGAAATGATCAGGCCTTGATGACTAACTAGATGTGAAGGGTGAGACAGAAAAGGGGCTGAAGGTGATGCCTAGATTTCCTGCTTAAGCAGCTGGTTAATGGTGTTGCAATTATTTGAAAGGGGAAGAACTGTAAGAAAAATTGGTTTGTTTGGGATTTTTTGGAAGGGGAATAAGGATAAACTCAAGTTAGACACAAGGGCATTTAGGTATAGTGGGGATCCAATAATAATGCTGGAAAAGAATCACAAAGAAAATAATAATCATTTTATCAACATAGCAAAGGTAACTAACATATTTGTGATCACTATATATTGGATACTGTGCTAAAGTACTTTATTACAAGTAATGTTTATTACAAATCTGTGGTACGATCATCTCCATTTTACAAATAAAGAAATTATCTCAGATTTAAAAATCACACAAATAAAAGGCAGAAGAGCTCTGAGGTGGGAGGACCTCCCTTGAGCCTAGGAGTTCCAGGTTGCAGTGAGGTATGATGGCGCCACTACACTCCATCCTGGGCAACACAGCAAGATCCTGTCTCTTAAAAAAACAAAGGGGCTAAAATTCAAATCAAATTTTCTCTGCCTTGTGAGCCGTCCCTCATAACCACTGGGCTATTCCATATTGTTTAGAAGCTCTAGAGAGAAATTAGGCTACTCATATTCATTTGGAAGTCAAAAGCATAAAGATAAACAAAAACCAAAACCAAACAAACCCATGGTAGTAGATAAATCTGTAGAGGGAAGAGAAAATATGCAGAGAAAAGATGAAAGTCTAAGGCAGAATTCTAAGAAACAACCATAGATGTTAAAAGGGAAACCAACAAAATGGCAGAAACACGAATGATCAGACTGGTATGAGAAAAACTAGAGGTGGTATATATCACAGAAGCTGACATTTAGGATTGTTTTAAGGCATCATAAGCATCACCATGAGGTCAAAAAGTAAGGACCTAAAATTGGATTTAGCAACACAGAGGTCATTAGTGAAAGCAATTTTCAGTAAATGGTTGGGGTAGAAGCCATATTGGAATAAATTAAAGAGTGAATGGGAAAACCGAGAACAGTAGCTCGTTCCTGTAATCCCAGCACTTTGGGAGGCTGAGGCAGGCGGATCACTTGAGGTCAGGAGTTCTAGACCAGCCTGGCCAACATGGAGAAACCCTGTCGTTACTAAAAATACAAAAAAATTAGTTGGACGTGGTGGTGGTGCCTGTAATCCTAACTACTCAGGAGGCTGAGGCAGGAGAATTGCACGAACCCGGAGGCTGAGATTACAGTGAGTTGAGATTGTGCCATTGCCCTCCAGCCTGAGCAACAGGGCAAGATTCCATTTCAAAAAACAAACAAACAAACAATGAATGAGAGGTAAGAAGTTGGATACACAAAATATAGATAAATCTTTCAAGGAGAATGGCTATAAGAGAAAGGTGTTTCTGTGAGTATGAACGTGTGCATATAATTAGCAAAGTTTTATTAACATTAAAATAGAATTGGAAAGAAAGATGGGAATAGCCGACAGATGGAAGAGATTCTTGAAAACATCAAAGACCTCCTGAAAAAACAGTACTTAGTACACCTCCAAGGCCACTTTTACCCTAGCTTGCTACTATACATAGTGAAAATCCTTGTTTTAAATCTGAAAGGATGATTAAAATCTTCCATATATGTGCCCTTCCCTGCCCTCAATAACCTGGGCTCCAAGATGATTGAGAGGATAAACTAGAGGCAGGGAGACTAACTGAGAGAAGAAAAAACAACCAAAACCAAAACCAACAAAAAACCTGGAATATAAAATTTCACCAACATCTAGTAAAAAGAGTCAACAGGTTTCTGAGATCTCAGAAGCCGTCTCGCTCTGGACTCACTCCTACACATTTCTCCTTGCTTTGATGCTAAAGAGCAACTTTATCTTAATGCTGAACTAAGGTCTCGCCAGAAGAGGGCTAACATCATACACGGCAGCATAATCTCTCCTTTCTTACTTCTACGAACTCTCTAATCTGTAACAGGAAAGAAGCAGTTGGGAGCCTCCACCTCTAAAATATCCTTCATAGAGTTCAAGCCACTGGCCTCTCCCTATACACATACATGTGTATTTTACGGTCTCTGTCTTTAATAAGACTACAAACTATAGAGGCCTTCTTTCTAGATTTTTTTTTTATTATTAAAATACTTAAATGATAGTTATTTATGTTTTGGTTTCATTTATTTTTGTACCTTTTCACCACTGCAGGATTGTAAAGATAGATCTTCATAAAGTGTCTTTCCTTCTCATGATAACCATAAAAAGGCCTGAAATATAAGAAAAAGATATTACAAATGATTTTCATAATTCAGAGATGAAATAATGCAACTTACTGCCCTAATTAGATTCAGCTGGCCAAATTCAGTCTTACATTTAATATTATCCACCCCCACAAAAAACAATTATAAAAAACCCAAACCTTTCAGTTAAACCTAGCACAGGTTAACATATGAAATACTAAAGCTTTTTTAAAAAGTGTAAAAAATATCACTTTCTTTGCATTACTGATGATGAGAATTAAAAATTATCACTCTGAAAAAACTATGGGCAAAAAGGAAGAGCAAACCATCCAACCCTTAATCTCAAACATTAAGACTTTAAGTGGTTTTTTGTTTTCTTTACTCCACATATGAGAAAACATATTTTTGTTTGCTTTACTCTACATACGAGAGAAACAGACCTTTCAGTCACCTTCTTCTGGCTCTCATTTTTTTGTTAAAAACTGAAGTTCTGGCTGGGCGCAGAGGCTCACGCCTGTAATCCCAGCACTTTGGGAGGCCGAGGCAGGCGGATCACAAGGTCAGGAGATCGAGACCATCATGGCTAACATGGTGAAACCCCGTCTCTACTAAAAATATAAAAAATTAGCTGGGCGTGGTGGCGGGTGCCTGTAGTACCAGTTACTTGGGAGGCTGAGACAGGAGAATGGCGTGAACCCAGGAGGCAGAGCTTGCAGTGAGCTGAGATTGTGCCACTGCACTCCAGCCTGGGCAACAGAGCAAGACTCCATCTCAAAAACAAACAAACAAAAACAAAAACAAAAACTGAAGTTCTTCATCAACAAAGTCCTTTAATTAACAACACTTATATTACTTTCCTTATTCAGCAGTTTATTATTAATTTTATAAGTTCAATAGGCAGAGATAATTTACCTATTATATGTACACACAGCATATATTTCAGTAGCTGACATGAGTAAAACTGCAACACACAACAATATCAAGAGAAGCCTCTGAAAAAACTGTGTAGACAGGAACTTAAGAGACTGAAAAAGACCATGAACTTACTTAAGCAACCTAATCATGTTATGGCTGAGTTTTTTCTCAGGGTATCAGCTGGAATGAGGAAAGGGGGAAACAAAAGACTACATAACAGGGAGAGAAATCCTCGGTACAAGATGAAACAAGCTGAACTCTCACATCATTTCAGGAGGATCTGAAACTACACTACAACCTCTGATATACAGAAAACTATTTTCAAAGATGATTAATCAGAAACAATACATAAACAGGTGTAAATTTGTGAATGAAATAAAAGGCTTTGTATTGGCTTAAAAGTGGTCTGTTAATACATGGTTAAATCTTTAGGTGGATAAACCCAATCACTCTTCATTTAAAAACATTGTTCCCTTACGACAGGCAGTAGATAACAGAATTTACTCTCATTAGGACACCACCTCTCTGTGATGTCTAATAGTGTAGTGGACATCAAGTAAAGGACTAATTTGGTAGCAGAGTCATTATTTTGGGTATAAACAATTTTTTTAGTTGTTTTAAGCCACCTGTATTATTGCTATGAAGTAATTTCTGTTAAAAAAAAAAAAATCCAACTATTTACCAAGGTCTAAAGGGTTCCTCATCTCATCCTTGCCTCTCACTCCAATCTCAAGTCATACCATTCTTCCTTCTCCTCCAGCCACTCTTAACATTTCAGGCCCTCTAACTCGATCCCTCAAGTGGAAAGCTCTGCTCTGGACTTCCGCATGGCTTGTTTAATCTTCATTCAGAACTCTGCTTAATTTACCTTCTCAGAAAAGTCTCACCTGACCATCCCTCCCTCTCACCCTTCACCCTTAACTTTTTATAATACCACTTCCAGTCTAGTTTGCTGCTGTTCACCCTATTTTGTTGCCATGAAGAATGGGTTAAAGAAAGACACATTACATAAATGATATCATTCTCTCTCACTAGCAAATTCAACCTTAATTACAGCCCTTTCCTGCTGTGGTATGTTTCATACATACAAAGGTAGCTCTCTGGAAATATGGGCTATCTTCAGCCAGATGAATAGTTTTGCCAAAAGAATTCCTTACCAAGGAGATTCTTTGGGGGAAAAAAAGTAGAATGGAAGAGTTTGAAAGTAGATGTTTTCATGTTTAAAAATATCGTATCTCGTAATTAGAGTTAGTTTTTAAAGTATATCAATAGGAAGGAAAATGAGTGTGGATAGTGAAAAATCTCACCTAATTAATTTTGATGGATTGAGAACCTCTTTATAGAAGATTCTCTAAAATCATGAGTAAGAAGAAATCCCAGAAATTAGCCCAAGGTCATGATCCTATCTCTTAACTCAGCCTCAGGATAGTGATAGTCTAAAATGAATAGTTAAACCTCATATAAATGTTAATTTGGTAGCTAGATGCAACTTTATGTAACTTAAAGAAGTAGGAAAAATTGAAGGAGTAAAGGAATTAGAGAACGTAGAGTGAATGAGAAGGAAAAAGGGGATCTAGGGAAGAAAATGACCAAAAAATTAGAAGAAGAAAAAAAACTGCAATGAAAAATTAGAGTGAGCAGTTTATCTTTTGCCCCATGTATCCAGATTTGTAACTCAACTTCTCTAAAAATGTGGCAATGTCTTTAACAAATACAAAAATACAGGAAGATTAGTGACTCTGCATTTCACTGGGCTGTTTGGAGACTCAACTTTGAAATGAGGATATATATAGGAAAGTTATTAGAAACTATCAAGAATAAACAAAACTAAAAGATAAAGTAGATAATTATCCCTAACATAATTATTGCTTCTGTTATAGGACGAGTGTAAACTTTCACCTCATTTATTTATCCAACCAAATACTTATTGAGCCATCTCATAACATGCTAGTGCACGAGCATGCAGTTTACATGCTAGTGGAAGAAACACATAAAAATTAAGTAAATAAATGAAAATGAAAATACCTGCAAACTGTATTAAGTGCTAAAGAAAACAAATAATGGGCTGAGATACAGAATAATAAAAACAACAACAATAATAATGCCCTACTTAAAATACCTTAAGTGGGATAGTCAAAGAAAACTTCTCTGAAGAGGTCAACGATCTGAATGCTTGGGGAAGGGTAGAATACTCAAGGAAAGAAACTTGTATATACAAAGAACTTAAGTGAGAAACAACTTGGATAGCAGAGTAACTGAGAGAAGATCACTGTTTCTGAATGGAATACAGAAAGCAAAGTTTCAGAGATAGACAGGGGTGAGGTCACATAGGTTATGGCCAGAAGTTTAAATTGTATTCTATTAACAATATGAAGCCACTCAAGAATTTTTAAATGACTTTAAATTTACAGTATAAGAAGAGTACTTCTGTTGCTCTGGAATGAGATAAAAACAGAACGAAATTCAATTAAAATGATACTATCATGGTCCAGAGGAAAGCCTAGATTAAGGTGGAAGAAAGCCGAGATTTAAGGTCTCCACTTGGATTTCATACAGAGATAAAACAACTCAAATGTTCCTGTATGAGCTCCAGATCTTTCCTGTCAGTTGGTTCCACCTCCACCTTCTGTCTTACTAGCAGAACACACTTAAATTTTTGCAGTCAACCTTGATTTCTCTCTCACAATCCTTACCCAATCAAACAGCAAATCTAGTATATTAACTCAACCTTCAGAATAGATCCAGAAGCTGATGACTCCACATTACTTTCCTGCTACCACCCTAGTTCAAGCCACACTATTTTCTTTTTTGTTTTAATTTTAATTCCTAGGTGTTTTCTACCTTAATATCAAGCCACCATATTTTCTTACCCAGATTAATTTCCTAATTCTCTCCCTGCTCTTATTCTTGTACCCCTACAATCTATTATTAATACAGTTGCTAAAGTAATCCTTTCCAGTTTAAGCCAGATCTTGGCTGCTTGAAATCACGTAATAACTTTGAGTAAAAGTCAAAGTCCTTATGTTAGCCTACTGAGTGATAACCAAACGTTTAAGCAGGCATAAGAATCATCAGAAAGGCTTATTAAAACACAAATTGCAGGGCCCCAAGAATGTAGTATTACCAAGTTCCCAGGTGTGTTAGTCCTAGTCCTCCAAGAAGTAAATGCCAAATGTGAGAGAAAATGAGAAGGGAGCCAGAAGAAGCTGGCATAGCCACCAGACCTAGATACCAGTCTCATCTCAAGTGGACAGAGGAATGTCTTACAGACCTGCTTTAGTATCTTTGCCATGCTCAGTCACAGGGTAAGAGTAGCCTATGGAAAGCAGGTCATCTGGAGTGAGACTGGAATTGACCATATAGTAGCTGGGGCCATTCACTCATTCTCTATGTATCTGGAGATCTGAGAGGTATATTCTCATGGCTGTCAAGCTAGGTAAAACTAATGATAGTAGGTGATACTAGGAAACCAAAGTATGGAAACCACACTTTGAGAATCATTGGTCCTCACAATCTCTATCCTCTCATATCTCTCTTACCTCATTTAGTCCAACTCTCCTTTACTCTTCCATTTCAGTCACCTGGCTTCCATGCTGTTCCTACTCCCTTACTTTGTCAGGTCTTTGCTCAGATGTTGTTACTTTCTCAATGACACATTCCCTGATTACTCTAAAATTGTCACTAGTCTACTTCCCTACCCCATACTACTGATCCTTCTTATCCTGCTTGTATAGATTCTTTCCTTACACAGTTCTAATTATCATATAGCAAATAAATTAATGTAATGTTGTATTTATTGGTTATTATCTGTTTCTCATAGCAGAATGTAACTTCCACATGGGCAGGGATCTTTGTTTTGTTCAGCAATATATCCCAAGTGCTTAGAACAGTGCTTAGCATATAAAAAGTACTTAATAAATATTTGCTGAATAAATTACATGAATTTCTATAGTTCTAGGAAGCAGATGAATGGAAAAGGAAACAACAAAAATCACTGTTGACTCTCTACCTTCCACTGAGATAAAAATTCATGTTAAAAAGTTACAGCAAGAAATTCACTGCAGTTGCATTAGACTAGAAGTAAAAGAAATAGAGTATATCAACTGAATGTGTTTTCCTCTAAATAGAATAGCAACATAAACAGAAATTATAAAATATATTATCATATACTTACATTCCTGATACTAATGACACTTTGAACACATGCTGAGCAGTGGAAGATGGATTGCCTAAAGCCACATTAAGTGCTCTGTCGATACTGAATGCCATCTGAGAAAGATAGCTTTCTGGCTGCTGTCCATAACCATCGTATGGCACATAGAGGTAAGGAAAGATGCCATGTAGATGAAGACATGTCTTCTGACCTAAAATGTAACACATTATAAAGTTTAGCTTCCAGACACAGTTTAACAATACAAAACTCAGCATGAAACTCATTTAAATGTTATAATGGCAACACAGCTTATCTAAGGGAAGAGTTGAAAAAAATTAACCCATAGTTGAAAGTAACCGGTATTGACTACATTTTACAACAGAACATTTGGAAACATTCTGTAAATACAAGCTTTGTATAATAGTATGATTTAAACAGTAGTTTTGATGAATATATTTTGACTGTTTTACCCTCATAATCCAACTAGTTTTGTGTACTTCACTGAATCATCTATAAATACCACTTAGCACAGTGTTATGAAGGTTACAAAAATTCACAAAAAGTTTACTAAGTAAATCAATGAATGCCTTTCTTGGCATTAATGTTTTCAAACAAGAGCCTTCCTTAAAAGAGAGGCAGCTCTGGGAGAAAGCGGGATGTAAAAGCAGTTCCAGTGTGTGGAATTTTGCTATTGCAGTGGGAAGGAGGGTAAAAATGAAATTTTGCCATTAAAAGGAAAAAAAAAAAGACAAAACCAAATCAAAACAAAATCTCTACAGATCAATTATCTGTAATGGATTTCGGGGTATCTAAATTTTATATTTGGTGGTATGGAACAAGGGGAGACAAAATGAGAGGGGAAAAAAGCCAACATGCACACTTCTCAGAAACCAGTGTATCAGTCAAGGTGCCGAAAGGGTAAATAGTGCTGACTTGCCAACAGACAATCCAGCATAGCCATAATAAAGAGTAATATGAGTGAGAACCCACAAAAGAAATGCCACAGAAACAATAATGTGTCCATGACAAGGTTAAGTAACAACAATGGCAACAAAAAGCAGATGCACCATTGCTCTCACGAATCTGGTAGGGCTGTATGGAAGTGGTTACTGTCCTCAGAGCATTGTCCCTAGTTCCCCTTGGGTATGTGCCATTTGTGTAATTCAAAAAGAGGGAACAGCAGTGATGGAAGAACACATCCATTTTTCTCATGCTGTCACCCAGTCTCACTGTGGTACTCCTACCAACACAAGCCTCAGGCTTCTTCCCCACCCCTTATCCCTCCTCACTCTGCTTCACTAGGCCTTTTCTTTTGGTAGGAAAGTAAATATTTGTTTGATCACTATTTCCCATTTATGATTTAGAATGATTTATATAAAATATATAGAAAATAGTTCTACATTGTGTTGATATCTTAATGTTTACATTTCTTATAAAGAATAACATTAGCTTCTCTTATTTTTAAGGTACACTTATGACAGAAAAATAAATCTGGAACAGTTATTACATAAAGCATAGCAAAATTGGAAAGATCAGTCACATAATGAAACAAGATTTGATTCTCCCAACTGTAATATTCTGATGTGAACTACCAACTGTCATGCTTTTGAAAAATTACAAACTTGTGTTGCTGTTATACCAATTTCAGTTTCTAGTTTGGCTATTTCATTTCTAAATACAACATGGTATTAATCCCTAAATTCTATAGTTTTTCAATTCTTCAAATAGAGAACATTCAAACTATACTGATGAGTCTTAAGAAAATAGATTTAATCAATTTACTGATGACTTACTTGACTGCTTTTTAAATATCTCAAGAATAAATGTTATAACCATTACCCTTCCGGACAAAAACCACAATTTGACTAAGAGTAACTGGTATGCTAAACTACAGGTTGAGGGAGGTGGGAAGACAGTGAAGTATTTTCTCTTAAGTTGACAAATTCAAGACCAGTGATTACAGAATTACTAGTGCAATGCCATATTTTACAAGCATTACTGTAAATTCCTAAGGTATTTGTTTATAGTCAATATATCTTAATAATGGAATTTTGGATAAATTTTACAAGAAACAATTACAAAACTGGACTGTACTAATAGTTTATGGGCAGAGTGTTCACAAAGTGTCTTAAAAATAATTTTATATCCAGTTTTCACATTGCCTGTGAAGTAGAGGCCAGAGGAATTGACTTTCTATTTATAGGCTTCAGAATTACAACAATTTTGGGATGTACAACTTAGGAAAAAGGAAGAAATTATTTACTCAGCAGGTACTAGGGTAAGTGCTTTACCTATGTATTTCTAAAACTTAGGATAATCTTGCAGTATTGATAGAGGTTAATGTTCCCAAAGTCACATAACTATTAAGCAATAGAATCCGGATCAACAAAACCTAAAACCAATACTCTTTCCATTAACCAAGCTGGTTCAATGTTTTAAAAAAGTCAATGTTGGCTTCCTTAATTCCTCAGTTTTTATTTCGTATTATAATTGCCTGTTTCCTTATCTGACTTTCCCATTTGATGGCAAACTCTCAGGGAGGTGATGAACACTATGTCCCCAGAACTCAACAAAAAACACATGGCATGTGCTTAACAAATATTTATTAAATGAATTAGAGAACCCACAACAAAACAGAATAACTGCTTAAGGAGAAGGGAATGATGTGAAAGCCTTTGAATATCTGAAGAAACACATGCATGAAAAAAGAGAGACTCTGATACAATTAATATTAACTACCATCAGGGTTACAGGAGGACATGGGTGTGTGGGGTTGAGAAGGGTCCCCAGCTTATTGCACTTTCCTACCCTGAATGACCTGAAGTGCCATCCAAATCTGTAGTCACTCTTTCAACAAAGACACACCTCTCTCTCCAGTCCTCCTGCAGCTAGAGATGGCTCAGTGCCTTACTCATCAACCTTCCTCAGGAACAACCTCCTGAAGAACAGCCACAACACAAGAAATTCTTGGCATAGCACTAACAGCTCTAATACAGAATAAGAATGATATAAAGCGAAAATGAAAGAAACAGGATAAAATAAGAAACTCAAAAGTTAAATAAGGAAAGAGAAATGTGTAAAACTGAACACGAGAGTCAGTTGCTTTTTGGAAATAGTATGTCTTTTATTACCATAAAATTTGTAGTTCTGTAATAGCATTGCTTTATCTTGACCAGATACAGACCACTTCTATTTATTTCCCTCCACTAGCTCTACCTCACACAAATGTGTGGAGATACAGAACCGTAAAGTCTTTAGAGATAAACTAGTCTACTACAACTCTCGTTAGTAAGGATTAGGTTAAACCGTGAGAAAATGCCCCCAAATCAGTGGATTTAGCATTAAAATTAGTGGCTTTTCTCCTAAAAGAAGTCCAGAGATAGGTAGCTGGTACTAGAAACCCAGCTTTTCTCAACATCCAGTTAGTGGTCTAGTTAAGAACTTGTGACTTCGGTCCAGGCACTTTTTCACTATACTTCTAGAAGTTCTATATACAAGATGCTTTCAAGAATGTTTTTATAAAATTAGTGAAAGTTACGGTATTTTGAAACCTTCTACTAAATGATTTTGGATTCTTAAAGGATTCGGGACATTAGGTATTTCTAGGAAACACATAGATTGAAGGAAAGAAAATATCCCTACTCCCTCAACTCTATTAAGGAAAACTGATACATAAAAATTGTATATATATAGGGTATACAACACGACACTTTGATATGTACACACCATGAATAAATCGAGCTAACATATCTATCGCCTCACATACTTATTATTTTGTGGTAAGAATACTTAAAATCTAATCTCTTAGCGATTTTCAAATATATAATACATTATTAACTATAGTCACCATGCAGTACAACTGATGTCCAGAACTTATTCATCATGTCTAACTGAAACTTCATACCCTTTAAGCAACAACTCCCCTTCACATCCTCTGAAGGTTCCCTCTTATTATCATGGCAAACTGAAGTGAGACAAGTCCAACAGAAATAAGATCGTCTTTGGGAGAATAAGCCCATGTACACAGGTTTCAAAAATTGAAGAGTTTGAATTTTCCAATTTGATTGATGTTCCCTAATTCAGAAACTACAAAAGTTATTTTAAAAAGCGCCATCAAAACTTGACACCATGGCAAAACTGTGGAGCCGGCTACTTCCCACTGTGTGTAAGTACATAACAAACTCTGCGGTGTTGGCTGCTTCCCATTGTGTGTAAGTACATAACAAAAGGCAGATGCCTCTTCAACAGGGAGTATGTGGGTGCTCTGAATTTCATCTTTCACAGAACCCAGAACTATTCTAAACATTAAGTCATCAGCTGGGCATGGTGGCTCACGCCTGTAATCCCAGCACTTTGGGGGACTGAGGCGGGTGGATCACGAGGTCAGGAGGTCGAGACCATCCTGGCTAACACGGTGAAACCCCTCTCCACTAAAAATACAAAAAATTAGCCGGGTGTGGTGGTGGGTGCCTGTAGTCCCAGCTACTCGGGAGGCTGAGGCAGGAGAATGGCATGAACCCGGGAGGCGGAGGTTGCAGTGTGCTGAGATCCAGCCACTGCACTCCACCCTGGGCGACACAGCGAGACTCTGTTTCAAAAAAACAAAAAAACAAAACAAAACATTAAGTCCTCTATATCCCAACAATTCTTATGTCATTTTTCAACATTTTATTCTGCAATTTAGGTGTCTTGATTTGATCTCTAAATTGCCCATCTAAAATCTTGTTAGCCTATTTGTAGCAAAATTACTTGGGGTATTTTTGTAGATTCAGTTTCAAGAAACACAAAGACTAAATGTACCATTCCTCTAATTTGGGGGTCTGCAAACTTTTTCTGGAAGGTGACAGTAAGTATTTTAGGTTTTATGGGGTATGCTGTATCTGACACAATTACATAACTCTGCTTTTGTAGCCTGGAAGCAGCTGTAAGCAATACTTAAGTGAACAGGCATGACTGAGTTAAAATAAAACTTCATTTACAAAAATAGGCAACAAGAAGGATTTGGCCCATGGATAGCAGTTTGCCAATCTCTGCTCTAATTAATTAGACTTCTTTCTCTATCATCATCTGGAATAGAAAAGTTTTTTTTTTTTTTAAGCTGATGGATAATTAAAGTCAAAATAGTGATAGCCTAAGAGTATCTTAGGAGAATAAGAAATATTTATTGTGTAATTTGCATATCCCATCTCCCAAATCTTAAATTCAATCTAA